ACATATGTGACCTCTCACGCGAAAACGTACACTAACGGCTATCCGTTCGAACGGCAAAACGCACGGCTAGTGAACGGATGACAAACGGATGGCCAAGGCGATTGAAACGGCTAACATGAACGGCTGAACGGCCGAAGAAAAATTTTGAACGGCTCAAAGTGAACGGCTGAACGGCTGAAAAAAATTTTTGAACGGTCCAAAGTGAACGGCTGAACGGCTGTGGAAAATTTTTGAACGGTTCAAAGTGAACGGCTGAACGGCTGTGGAAAATTTTTGAACGGCTCACGGCTCACGGTAAACGGCTGAGGAAAAGTTTTGAACGGCTGACAGTGAACGGCTGAACGGCTGACAGTGAACGACTGAACGGTTGTAGAAAAATTTTGAACGGCTGACGGTGAACGGCCGAACGGCTGTGGCAAATTTTTGAACGGTTGAACGAGTAAAGATGATAACCATTTTAAATCAACGACCAGATTACTTTGACACAGAGCAAAGAAAACAAACATCATTCAATTTTCAGCTGAATATCGACTTTGTGGTTGCGTTTCCGACATTAACTCAGAACCTGTTTTTTAAAGTTCAAAATCAAACATTCCTGTGCACATTTCTCGTTAAATATCTACCAGTAACAAATATACAGATAACTAAGGTTATTTTAGGGGGACGAAACCATCTCTTTGCGTAAGAACAACGATCGTTGTTTACACTTGTCAAAGCATAACATTCGCCACAAGCGAAATTTGCATAACGCACTGTGGTGTTTGATATTTTGCAAAAGGTAACGCAACGTATTATGAGCATTGCTAAGTTCGCTAATCAGCTAATGAAACAAGTGCTATAAGGAGTAAAGACGCTTGTTCAGTCACCTCAACTTAGAGTCCTTGAGAGATTTCCTCTCTTGCAGTGCCTTCTTTTCCTTCTCTGCCAACTTGTCTTGCGCTGCCTTCAAATCAGCAGCAAACATGTCAGCTAGCTTACGCACATTCTTCTTTGCCTCTTCGATGGTTGGGTTTTCTGTCAGATAGGAGTAGAGATCCTGTCTGGTTTCCTTGATCTGCAGCATGTACACTTCGCACACGTCATCCAGAGCAACCCACTTGGAATAGTACTGCACGGCTTTTGTTTTGAATGCCGTCGATGTCCAAACCTTCAGTCTTTTTTCTTCTGGGTACTTCATAACTCTTTCCACCGTCTGTTGCATATCCCCTTTTGCTAAAGACTCGCAGTGGCTCTGCATCTGACGCCAGAAAAGGGCTGCATTCATCATAATGGCTGAGAGAGATTTAAGAGCACCAATGGAGCTGTGCAAGGCTTCGATGGCGGCATCTGCTAGAGCATCATCATCTTGGCAACTCTTTATCCTCTCTGTGAATTCTATGCACTGCAGTATGGCGTCTCGACGCATGTCTCTTTGCTTCTGCATGTCATCCAGGTGTTTCATCTTTTCTTCGTTTGCCATCTTCATAGCTTGTTTGTACCCTGACTCGTCGCCCACTTTCTCCAGTTGTTCCATAGCCTTTCCAAAATCTCCTCCTAGTCCAGCCTTAGCAGCACCAACCATACTTGTCAAACCATCTGCCAATTTTGTGAACAAGCTGCCCTGCTTGTCCAACGCTTTGTCCTCTCTTTCTTGAGCCTTGTTGAAAAGAGCATTCGCCTTTTGTTCAGCTTCGCGTGCACTCTTCTGTAGCTCTTGTGCTTTCTGTTTTTGCCTTTCAAATTCTTCCTTTCTTTCTGAAGAGCTTTCTTCTTCTCCTCCTGAGTGCCCTTTGCTCTCTGCCTATCTTGTAAGGCATCAATCACATCATTTGTTGCTTTCTCAAAGTCATCGCGCAGTTTCTCTGCTGCCGTAGCCATTTCTTTCGCCACGTCAGTCAATAGCGAGAGAGTTTCCAGCGCCATCTCTTCCAATCCATCCAGCAAGTACTGATAGGTGCCTTGGAGCTCCTGAAGTACATCTTTCGTAGCACGTTTAAAGTTGTGCACAGTGACGGCAGATTGGTCAGCCAGGTTTGTGATCTTGTAGCCAACTTTCTGCACTTTGATCTGTATCTCAGTGCTGCCTGCTCCACCATTGTACGCCACACGAATAAAGTTTCCAAGTTTTCCTAAGTCATCCACGAGGCTTGCAAGATCGAGGGAACCAAGGAGATTTTGTTTAGCCTGCTGCACCATCAAACTTTTTGGGTTTGGAAGGGTAACAAGATCGAAGGTTTCTCCATCAATTTTGACTTCTGTCTTGGGAACAAGAGCCATTTCGTGTAAGTTGAAAATGCCGCTACTCAAAAGGCAAAACCAATACCGCACGACGAGTTGCGTTGCACCGTTATAGGTGTATGACACAAACAATCAAGACTTCCCACTACTCTTGGAAACTTATGGCATTGATGATATTGATATCCATATTTGGTAAAAATTCTGCGACTAGATGATAACATATCTTTTCTGGATTGGTCAATGTGCTCTTAGATGATAAAAATAGTAATTAAGCATTTCACATTTCAATATCCTCTGGGCCTCTTTCGATATTTATCTGTTTTGACACTCCTCCCCTATGATTTTTTGGGCAATTCAATCGTAGCTAACTGATAACTTGTCGAGAAAAAATATTCGGCCTTTTTTTAAACTTGTATTTTTATTTTGCAATGAAAGGAGTGACAAGAACATAAGTCAAGCTTCTCTTTCCGGGGAATAAACACGCCACCGTAAGCACTCTCATTGATAACCATATTAGGGTACAAACCACGTGTTCTCTACCTCCGTAAGCACCTTAGGGTACAAACCACTTGTTGCTTAACTACGTGGGGTCGCTTTCTTTCTCAGAAAGATTTCAATTGTTCTGTCTGGTCGACTCATTCAAGTGATCAATACCTAGTTAGTATTTACAAACGTTAACATCGAAATTTTTAAGACGGACCCTTTAGGCTGAACTTTCATTAGTTGAAACAGGATAAATCATTTTCGCGTAAGAAACTTCTTGATACCAAGAGCTATGGTATGATCGTCATTCCACTGAACTGCTCTTTCTCGGGTTTAACATACTTTCTCTGTATTGGTCAGGTTGTTGTATCTACACCAATGTGAAACGATTTCCTGTCTGACCAAATTTGGGAAAAACGACAAAAGTTATTTTTATCCACTGCGTTGGTTTCATTTCTTAGAAAAAAAAAAAAAAAAACGCTTCCGTTAACAATGCAACTGGCACATGTAACTAATGCCTGGGAGAAAACATCATTATTGACTAATTCTGGTTACATAAGCTTATTCAAGGCCACGAACAAACATCTTTCGAAGAGCTCGCTAAACATGGCGCTCGTTTCAGTTAGCGAAAAGTGTTTTAACACCATAGAATCAGCACTGAAAGCAGTGAAAACAGGTGACATACGCAGTTCTGAAATTATGTTGAAATCACTTGGAAACGATGGTTTGTTAGTGCAACAACAGGCGTCTGTATATTGTGATCGGCTCAGAGAAGCTGAAAATGAACACAAGCAACAAGTAGAGGCCATTACCCGCCAGATAAACGAGTTATATCAGGAACAGAAACAGCACGAAAAAAGGAAAAAAGAATTAGAAGCAAACAAATCTGTACTAAGGAGCAAGAAGAATCATTACATCCAAGGCAAGCGAGAGGCTTTGAGAAAATATCAAGAAGTAGAGTGGCAGAAGAGAGAAGCCGAAGAAAAATTTGAAGAATTGAAGACCTTTTGGTGGGTGCCTATTTACGGTCAGTACCTTGTTGTGCGCGAATTATTTGAAGAAAATGACAAGAAGGCAAGACATGCCTCGAGAGAAATGCACCGTCATGAAAGGGATGCCGAGGAAGCCGAAAGGGACATTGAACGGACCAATTCAGGAATTCGTCAGGTGAGTTGCAAATTATCCAGGGTGAGTATGTCCTCTTCGCAAATTGCAGAGATCGCATAGTATGACTGTCTTCATTCCATGTTTCCCCTATTGCATATCTTAAGCAGTTTTGAAGATTTTATGATCGTAAATAAAGGTTGCAGTTCAATTTCCTGTACGCCCCTTGAATATAGAGAAAGTACAGTTTAAACTGCTTTTTCCTACAATCTGTTCAAGGAAAAAAAGAACACAATAGATAAAAAAAAGAAAAACGGGTTTACCCTCACAGCTGAGGGAGTTGAACCACATGCTTAAGAAAAATGGCAAGTGAACGAAGAATCGTGAGTTTCAGGGGTAAAAATATGTTATTGAATACGTAGTATGCTGCTCTAGAATAAAATAACTAAAAAAATTCAGATAACGAATGTTCAGTGTAATGCTCGGCGTTGAAGGCCACTTAAGATTGATACGTGAAAAAAACAAAACAAAAAAACAACAAAAAAAACCAGTTCACATGGGGTAAGGAAGGCACACAAGTCATGGTCCAAAGTACAACCTACATTTAGCGAAGCTCTAAACTAAAATTATCACCTCAAGAATTTATGATTCGTATTAGAAGAAGGCGTGTTGGGCCAAGAAGCTTTCATTGTAAGATACTTTAACTATGATTTTGGTGCGTTTCTATGCTGCATGACAGAAAACTATTTCATTAGGCTGAGGAAGACATGCGGAGGATTTCTGAGAAAGTGGAACAGCTGGAGAGACAACGACAACACTGTCACAATAATTTGGGTGACGTAAAAAGTATGGTGGTATTTATCATTCAAGCTGTTACTTTCTGGAAGGAGGTGGTCGAACTCACAAGGGCAGCAACAGTGAAGACTGAAAACATCCAAAAGATCGTGGAACTGGCTCAAAAGAAAGATTCAATTAAGATACTCACAAGCAGAGGAACCCAGATTAAGATGAAGTCGTTTAAAGAATGCTGGATGGATTTAATACAGACCATCAACTCTGACGAGAACAACGTGATTTTTCAAAGTAAGGTGCCACAAAATGCACTCTGTTACAAAACCTAATATCAAATTGGTTTTCTTTCTTTCCAAAGTAAACTATTTGAAGGTTTAAATTAATACCTATTACACCACATCAATGAATATACGACTTTGGCAAAACTACTTAAAAGTCAGGATCATTATGAAAGGATAGCATACAACCGTACATCTTTGACTATAGCACCCACAAAGAAGGAAAAAAGTTAAATGTATCATGTATTACCCCTACACCACTTCCATGCTACAACCACTCATTTGTGTTTTACAACAGAACAGGGTACAGTCGAGGCTTCTCTCTTTCTTAATCTTGGTACCTCAAAGAGTTGAGTATGTTAAATGGATCAGAGGGAAAGATTAAAAACACAGCAAATTTTTTCACACAGAGTGTAAACTTGAATTAGCATGGTAGATCATGAAATCAGTAGATGTAGACCAGCTACAGCGAGGGTGAAGTCTTCTGCGACCTCGCGTGATTTAAACGGAACTCTAGAACCTCTTACGCATAATAATAATAATCACTAAAAATTTACAAAAATCAGGTTAAAAGGCTTAAAATGTCTGATAAAAATCTAAGAAAAGCTATTGGATACAAGCTTCGGTTAGTAACGATGATGACAACAACAATAATAATCATAATAATTCGGTTCTCTAGGATCAGACTCGTATCAGACCCAAACTAACTTTGATAACAAAAACGACCTACATATAAAAATCGCGAAAGCAACTACTAGTTCGTATTGAAAGAATTTCAGAAAACGTGCATCGAAATTATCTTTATAAAAGTAAATTACATTAAAAAAAGTNAAAAAAATATATGAGAAGGGAAATGACACTCTTACTCTAAAAAAGTGTAAAAAAGTGTAAAAACAAATTTTAAAAATGTCTAGCCTATATTTGCCATAGCATTGTCAATTAAAATCTGTATCAAATAATAATAATAATAATAATAATAATAATAATAATAACACCTTTATTTAAACACCATATGTTTCAAAGCATTTTGAAATCCCTGGTGGTCCTTATAATTTGATTGGCTCTAATTGGTGCGATTTATTCACAAATCGCACTATTTTTACTCTAAATTGCATCATTTTACACTTGAATGAGTTTTTGACACATGACGTCAAAGTCTTTCTGTTTTGCATACAAAATATGATGTAAAAGTGTTTCCGGTTCCGCTTTTTATTTAAAAATCAACTCAGTACTGCATCAGTAAAATATTTGAATCGACCAAGTCCTGTATTTCCAGGGTGATTTCAAAATGGATGTGATAAAGTGGTAATTGAACCTCATGTCGTGCAATTTTGGTCTGAAATCATACATGTGATTTCAAATCAAACTCGTGCTGCACTCTCCTTCGATTTTGAAATCATGCGTATGATTTCAGCCAAAATTGCACTTCACTCAGTTCAATTACCGTTATTAAACCCGTTCACCCATAAGAGTGAATAGCATCTGATTTCTCCTTACAGTATCACACTACTTTAAATTTTTAACATTCTTTTATTATCAATTTTGTTCTGACAGTGCTGATTACCAAATGTTGGAGTGTTATGAACTTATCAATAGCGATCCTTTTTTTTTTAAGAACAAATAACACTATAAATCAATAAGCATGAACTAGTGAACCAGGCCAATGCACAGGTTAACCTTGAATTAAGTAGATGTAGTGGTTTTCTCGTTGATTTGTTCTAATATTCTTAAATTTTAAAAGATTCAAAGAGGCATGACAATCATCATCCAGAATCTGGCCCCAAAACATAGAAATATTTGTAAGAGCGAAAAGCCTTTAGGAACTATCTTTGACAATGCCTTTCAAAACAAAGCTGTTGTGTGTATGCTAAGAGAAACAAAGAAAGAAACTGGGGTACCAAACAAAACAAGATAGAAAAATACAAAGAGTAGTAAAAGTAACAGTACTGGCAAAGGTTCCTGTGGTTCAAGGTTTAAGGAAACAGCCTGACCAAAACGAAACAAGAAAACAGGCATTTAATATTGAAAGACTTTAAAATTAACGTGATTAAGTCAACAAATATAATTTTCACAGACGATAATATCACCAGAAATTAAAACAATTTAGAAGCTTGAAAGGTATATTGCAAGGGATTGAAAAAGGAAAAAAAAAACCAAATTTGTTCTCAATTTCAGGGTATGCAAAAGCTGCTATTTCCTGATGGTGCTTATTATCATAATGATGACAAAAAGACAATGGCAAGGACAATATTATGACAACTTTGGTGATAGTGCTGATGCTGGTGCTCATGACCACAAAGACAAAAGCAATGATGGTGATGATGGTAGCTATAATAATAATGATCACAAAATATCATCATTTATCACTTGGCTCAACACCAGTGACAGTGATGATGACCTTAGTGATAATCCTGATTCAAATGCTCCCAATCACAAAGACAACTTTAGTGATGGAGATGTTAGTAGCTATAATTATAGTTATCATGAACTTTTATCATTAGTCAGTACTAAAACAAAATTGTCAAATGTCAAAACAGCTTTCAACAGCCTGATATGACCACTGGCAGAACAATGTACACATCATGCTTGTAATTGGACTGTGTATGCCTCAGAATTTGAAATGTTGTCATGCATTTCCTTAAGTGTTGGTTTCCATGAAAATGACTAATCCATGGCTGTGTTGTTTCTAAAATTCTGTCATAGTTTTGATTGACTAATAACAAAAACCATCATCACTTGAATTTATTTAATTTATAGTTTATTTAGATTGACCCCACAAGCTGTTCAGCTTTAAACATTATCGTGTCTAAATAAAGGTGTTATTATTATTATTATAATTTATAATTATTATTATTATTATTATTATTATTACTATTATTATTATTATTATTTAAGTC